GACGGGTCAGACCGCGCGGAGTGGGGCGGCCGGGGCCACAGGGCTGGTGAGCTCAGAGGAGTGGCGGGGGCCTCGGCACCTGTCCCGCGGTCACTTACTGAGCTAGACTTCAAAGCGGGCTCCCGACACCCTTCGGAGCTGATCCGGGCCGCGCTGCTGGTTCGAGGGCGACAGGGCGCGGGACAGACATCCCACCTGGGCCCTCCGAGCCCTACCGCGGTCCCGAAATGTGGTCCTCAGTGTCGGTCCTCGCTGAGGAGTGCGGTTGGTTAGAGTGTCATCCTGATAGCCGAGGTTGGGCACATAAAGAGTCAACCAGTGAATGCATAAATAAGTAGAACGACAAATTTCTCTCGCTCTCTTTCTCTCTAAAAATCAATAAATTTTTTTAAAATTAAAATTTAAAAATGTGATTGTACCGGTAAATGATATTTTGAGATATCCCCTATAACTGTATGGGAGGGAATATGGCGACATCTGTGATTTTTTTTGAAAAAAATCAATGTGATCGCTGTCTCCTGCACGCCCCCTACCAGGGATCAAACCTGCAACCCCGGCAACCTTTGCGGGGGGGGGGAGGGAGAGGAGCCCAACCAACTGAGCCACACCGGCCAGGGTGACATTTGTGATTTAAAGGTCACAGGTACCCTGGCCGGTGTGGTTCAGTGGTTGGAGCGTCGACCTACACACTGAAGGATCCTGGGTTCTATTCCCGGTCAAGGGCACGTACCTGGGTTTCAGGTTTGATTCCTGCCTCAGATCAGGGCTCAGGTAGGAGGCAACCAATGTGTTTGTCTCACAATGATTTTTCTCCTTCTCTCCCTCCCCCTCTCCCTATCTTCCTTCCATTCTCTCTAAAAATCAGTGGAGGTGGGGGAGGGACTGCTAATGCTATTTTGGTTTTCTATATTCACAATTAAAAGAGATGCTAAATTTCAGATAGGGGTTATTAAAAATAAAGTATTTTTTAACCAATGTCACCCCAATACATTCAATAAAAAATAAGTTAATTTAAAAAAAATAGGGTTTCTGGGAGCATGGAGAAGGGAAGTGGGTGTTCTGGATGGGCAGTTAGCATGGGAGACCTGAAGTAGGAGATTGTGGAGATTAGGGAGCTGACCTGCTGGAGCGGACCCTGAAGGCTGGGGTGAGGCTCATGGACCTGATTAGTAAGCTTTAGGGTACTGACAGGAGACTTACCTGATTAGAATGGCGGATGAGAGCTTGTGTAATAATGGGGAATCGTTAACAAATGGTGATAAATGTTCTTTCATGTTGCAACAGGTCATTCAGATTCTAGGAGACAAGTTTCCATGTACTTTGGTGGCAAAGAAAATTGACCGTATGTCTCTGTTTTGTTTTATTTTTTAAAGATAGTTTGATTTCTCTTGTCAGCTGGTGACCTGACTCTGTATTTCTTTTTCCTCATAAGTGCCGGAGTACCAGGGAGAGCCTGACGAGATTTCCATACAGAAGTGTCAGGAGGCAGCTCGCCAGGTGCTTGCTCCACATGTGTGCTCTGCTCACTTCTCTTGTCCTGGTGGCTCTGGGGCCTGTGTCTGCTGGGGATGAGTGGAGAACAATAGCGTGGGCACAGTTTGGTATGACTCAAGGACCTGCCCAGGCCTAGCTGTTCTGGGGTTAGTTCATGTTGGCCCTGGAATACTGCCTTTCTCACCCTTGACTGTATAGTATCTCCCCAGACCACCACTTACACACATAATTCTCTCTCTCTAATTCTCAGATACATACATTCCAGCCCCAAATTCTCTCCACATCCATCCATCCCTGCCCTCACTTACCTCTGTGGAACTGAGAAAGAGCACTTTCTGAAGGGTCAGGCTGCCTGACTATGAATCCCACCTTTTCTCTTACCGTGCCTGGAGCGGGCTTTACAGCCTGCCAGGGCTTTTGGTGTCCCTATCTCTCAAACGAATATAAGAGATTAGCCAAGGGCTAATCCCGGTAGCAGGTGGACGGACCTCTATATGCTGTTGCTGCAGATTCCAACCAGCTGTGGGCCTGGCTCCAGCTTGGATGGCCTGGGAATTCAGGGCTGCAGCAGGGACTGTTGCTGGTAGCAGGTCTCAGGGCTGTATTTCCTTGTGCTGCAGGTGCAGGGACCTGTACTGGTGGAGGATACCTGTCTGTGCTTCAATGCCCTTGGGGGCCTCCCTGGCCCCTACATGTGAGTGCTCCCCCTTACAGAGCCCTGCCCCCAAAACCATCTGAACTTGGAAATGATTGGTTACCTGATATCACAGATCATTCACTATCTTGGCATCAGCACCAGTATTTCAGATTGTCCTGAGGAAGGATTAGGGATGGGGAAAGGCATGCCTTTCTTTTGTAAAGTGTGAGAATGTGATTGTGTAAGTGGGGATGGGCAAGGGGAACCCACCTGTTGAAGAGGTACATTCCTGGATAGATCGATTTCAGGAAAGAGAAAATAAGGAAGTCAAGATCTGAAAATGGCCCTGGCTGGTTTGGCTCAATGGATAGAGCGTCGGCCTGCAGACAGAAGGGTTCCGGGTTCGATTCTGGTCAGGGGCACATGCTCGGGTTGTGGGCTTGGTCCTCATTGTGGGGCGTGCAGGAGGCAGGCGATCAATGATTCTCTTTCATCATTGATGTTTCTGTCTCTCCCTCTCCCTTCCTCTCTGAAGATCAATAAAAATATATTTTTTTTAAAAAGCTGAAAATGGGTTTCCTATCCAGTGCTCTAGACCCCCTTAGAAGGTCTTGTTGTATCTCTAGGGTACAAATACCCCAATTTAAATGCCCCTCTCAGTGGTTAGGGCGCAAATGCACACCAGTGCTGTTGCTGGGTCTTGGATATGTATATATTTAACATTTAGATTGCCAGTATGTTTGCCAAGGCAGTAGCACCTGTATACACTTATACACTTATACATTGCCCCATATTTGCAATGTGGGGAGTATGAAGTGTTATCACATGCAGTTTTAATTTACACTTGCCTAATTATCACTCAGCTGGAGGCCTTCATTGAATTATTGATTCTTCTATGCATTGCCTGTTTGCCTCCATTTCCTTTTTCCTATTGGATTGATTTGTCTTCATTTTGAGTTGAGACATTTTGTTTGTTTTAAATTATTTTTTAAATTGCTTCTTAGAGAGGAAGCGAGAGGGAGAGAGTAACATTAATGTGAGAGTGAAACATGGACTGGATGCCTCCAGCATACCCCCTACTGGGGGTTGAGCCCTCAACCTGGGTGTGTGCCCTGCCTGGGAGTTGAACCTGCAACCTTTAGGTGCACTGGACGATGCCCAACCAACTGAGCCACACTGCCCAGGGTGAGACATTTTTAAAAAAATATATATATTTTATTGATTTTTTTACAGAGAGGAAGAGAGAGGGATAGAGAGTTAGAAACATCGATGAGAGAGAAACATCGATCAGCTGCCTCCTGCACACCTCCTACTGGGAATGTGCCCACAACCAAGGTACATGCCCTTGACTGGAATTGACCCTGGGACCTTTCAGTCCGCAGGCTGATGCTCTATCCACTGAGCCAAACCGGTTAGAGCGAGACATTCTTTATCATGTGAATCGCTTGGCTGTCCCAGGGCTCTAATCCCTGAGGGACTGCAACCCAAGAAGAAGGTGGTCTGAAGATCCATCTCCTGGTGTCTGACTCACCTTTGTTTGTCTTGCAGAAAGTGGTTTCTGGAGAAATTAAAGCCTGAAGGTATTATTCCCTTTATTTCTTCCTTTAGATCTGTTGGGAATTGAGAATCCCGAGGTGGTCTAGGGGAGGGCCCCACTTGTAATCAGGAATCTCAGGTTGCAGCCCCACCATGGAGCCCTTCTGTTCACCTCAGTTTCCCCATCTATAACCTGCAGCTCATACTTTCCCTGCACACCTGACTCTAGGGAGCGCTGAGATAAGGAAGGAGTGGATGGGAAAGGGGTGGTGGGAGCTGTGACTTTGAGGAACAAAGGCACTGCAGTTGATTTTGGGTGAGAGGACTGGCCCTACTGACTGCTTGCCAGTCCTTGCCTCAGCCAGGGCCTGGCCTGGGGGTTCGGGTCCCCTCCTGGGCCCCAGCAGTGCCTACTCTGTCACCTACAGTTGCAGGCCAAAATGTTCCCTCTTTAGGTGCTGCTAAAAACACTTTACATTAATGAGCATTTAAGCATATATAATAGTAGAACAGCAAATGAACCCCATCTCCCCATGACTCAACTTCCAGGTTTATCACCACAAAGCCTATCTGATGACATGTATAAAACCCCCAGTTTGGCATATGTCCCTTAATCTGGGGCCTCAGGGTGGGGAGTGGGGGCTAGCTGGCACCGACTGCGCTAAGCCCTCACCGCACCTGTCCGCAGGTCTCCACCAGCTCCTGGCCGGGTTCGAGGACAAGTCGGCCTATGCTCTCTGTACATTCGCATTCAGCACTGGCAACGCAAGTGAGCCTGTGCGCCTCTTCAGGGGCCGGACCTCGGTGCGTACCCATGCTGGTTCCTCAACATGCCACCAGAGGGCGCTGACACTCCAGCTCTTGGCCCAGTGTCTTCTGCAGGAAGGTAGTGGGAAGGCATCCAAGCCAGAGTTAGTTCCCAGGACTTTGCCCAGATCTGCCCCTGGGCACCATTAGAAAAAATGCTATCAATTCCGAAATCTATGTGACCCCGTGTCACATACAGAAATTTTTTGATATTTGCAACCATAGTAAAACAAAGATTTATATTTTTGATATTTTATATATTTAAGTGCCATTTAACAAAGAAAAATCAACCAAAAAAATGAGTTCGCGTGTCACCTCTGACACGCGTGTCATAGGTTCGCCATCACTGGCCTAGAGCTCTGCACTGTATGCCCTCCTGAGAAGCAAATGTGGAAACTGAAGAAGACAACTCCCAGAGCTACATCTATATCCCAGACTTCTCCAAGTTCCAATCTCCTTATCCAACTACTTGAATATCACACAAGCTTTCTAACTTTTCATGTTCATATAGAATCTTCCCCCAACTTATTCCTTCCCCAGCTGTCCTTCAGCACCTCATGCCTACCTGTGAGGTTCAGCAACTTCTCACAGGGCCCACACCACCCTCTAGCTGGCTGCATGCATCCCCCCCACCCCCCCCAAGTATATTCCCACATTGTGGGGATTCACTCCTCTGCTTTCTCTCTTCTGCTCAGGATAAAATCCAGGAGTCCCACTGTAGCCCACAAAGCGCTATCCCAGAGACTCCACCAGGGGTTGACCACAGAGGTGTGTTGCCTTACCTGGTTATATTGGTGTGTGTGTGGTTAGAAACACATAACATAAAAGTTACCATCTTCACCGTTTTAAGTGTACAGTAGTGTTAACTATATGCACACTTGTGCAACAGATCTCTAGCAACTGTCCCTTTCCCCCCTCCCTAGCCCCTGGCATCAGTTTCTAAGAGTCCAACTTCAGACACCTTATGTAAGTGAATGCTGTAGTATTTATGTTTTTGTGACTGGCTTATTTATGACAAGTCTTCAAGGATCAGCCATATTGTAGCATGAGTTCATTTTTAAGGCCGAACAATACTCCATTGTATGTAATGCCACATTTTCTTTACCCATTTATCAGTCGATGGGCATTTATTACTTCCACATTTTGGCTACTGTGAATAATGCTGCTATAAACACGGGAATGTTCTCTCAAAAATCAGAACTTTGAACAACCACAGGCCCTGCTGACAAGGCCAGGTCACTGCTGTCCCCACCATTCCCTATTGTCGCCCCAGCTTTGGCTGCTTCATGCACTTTGTTGCTTCCCAGCCCCCACTTTACGCAGGGTGGCCCTGTTTCTTCATGTTCTTACCTGAGCTCTCTGAACGTAATCACATTGTCCTTTCAGCAATGCATATGCCAAACCCTTCCCCATCTCAGGGCCTTGGCATCAGCCTGGAATGTTCTCCGACTGGAATGTTCTTTTTTAAATTAATTTCAGAGAGAGGGGAAGAGGGAGAGAGAGAAACATTAATGTGACAGAAACATCTACTGGTTGCCTCCTGTACTCACCCCGACCAGAGATCAAACCCATAACTTGGGTATGTGCTCTGACCAGAAGTTGAACCCTCGACCTTTCAGTTTGTGGGACAACAATCAACTGAGCCACACCGGCCAGGGCCGCCTGGAATGTTCTTGCTCTATCCCTGAGGCCTTCCCAAGTCCTTCTATCCTGTTCTTGAGTCCAGCTCCCTGTTTGTTCCCTTTAAGCCACTTGGCATTTGGTAATTTGTTTACTAGTTTGATGCCCGTTTTGCTTAAGATCCATTCTGTGAGGGCAAGGCAAGGCCTGCTGTAACCCCAGTACTGACAACACTGCCTGCCTTCCTGCAGATATTCATACAGTGTGTTACTTGGGTATGGTTCAGAGTAGTAACTGCCTCAGCCTCCCTGCTAGCAGGAGCAGAACTCACCTTTGGTCTAAATAACTTGGCATTTATGTGGCTAATCCCCATCCTCTACTACCTCTCTTATATTTTTTTAAATTACTTTTTTTCTTTTATTGCTTCCATGGCAACATGACATTTTGTGACACTGGGCTATAATTTGTTCTCTTTGTAACATTTTTCTGTTGGAATTTGCTTATTACAGCCAGTATTGAGCTCATTTTTAATTTTTTTCTTTTTATCTATTTTTAAATCTTTATTTTTGAGAGTATTACAGATGTCCCTCTTTTTCCCCCCCATTGCCTCCCTCTACCTGGTTCCCACCCCATCTCTTCACCACCCTATTGTCTGTGTCCATCGGTAATGCCTACTAGTACATGCATATAAGACCTTTGTTTAATCTCTTCCCACCCTTCCCCCTCTTCCCTCTGAGACTGTTAGTCTTTCCGTGCCTTTGATTCTATTTTATTCATCAGTTTGTTTTGTTCATTATATTTCTTGTTCGTTTATTTTTAAATTTGGTTGTTGATACGTATTGCCATTTTATTCAGATTTTTTATCTTTTCTTCTTCCTCTTCTTAAAGAATACCCTTCAATATTTCATGTAGTACTAGTTTGGTTGTGATGAACTCCTTTAGCTTTTTCTTGTCTGTGAAGCTCTTTATCTGACCTTCAATTCTAAATGATAGCTTTGCTGGGTAGAGTAATCTTGTTGTAGGTCCTTACTATTCATCACTTTATGAATATTTCTTGCCACGCCCTTCTGGCCGCAAAGTTTCTGTTAACAAATCAGCTGACAGTCTTATGAGTGCTCCCGTGTAGGTACCTAACTGCTCTTCTCTTACTGCTTTTAAGATTCTTTCTTTGTCTTTAACCTTTGGCATTTTAATTATGATGTATCTTGGTGTGGGCCTCTTTGGATTCCTCTTGTTTGGGACTCTGTACTTCCTGGACTTGTAAGTCTATTTCTTTCACCAGGTTAGGGAAGTTTTCAGTCATTTTTTCAAATAGTTTTTCAATTTATTGCTTGCTCTTTCTTCTCCTTCTGGCACCCCCATAATGCAGATGTTGATACACTTAAAGTTTTCCTAGAGGCTCCTTACACTATCTTCATATTTTTGGAATCTTTTTTCTCTTGCTCTTCTGATTGGATGTTTTTTGCTTCCTCATTTCAAATCGTTGATTCAGTTCTCAGAACCCTCTATTCTACTGTTGAATCTATAAATTATTTCAGTTAGTGTATGTTTAATTTCTGACTTTTTATTTTTATTTTTTATGCTCACCTGAGGATATTTTTCCATTGATTTTGAGAGAGAGTGGAAGAGAGAGGGGAAGACAGAGAGAAACATCAATGTGAGAGAAACACATTGATAGGCTGCCTCCTGCACATGCCCTGACCAGGGCCCGGGTCGGGGAGGAGCCTGCAACCGAGGTACATGCCCTTGACCAGAATCAAACCTGCGGCCCTTTGGTCCACAGAGCCAAACTAGCTAGGGCCTGACTGGTCTTTTATGTCTTTGAAATTTTCACTAAAATCCCTGAAAGTCTCACTAAGTCACTTGAAGATCTCGTTAAGTCCTTTGAAGCTCTCATTAAGATCTTTGAATAATCTTATAACCATTGCTTTGAACTCTATATCTAGTAGCTTGTTTGCTTTCATTTGTAACATGTTTCTTTGTCTCTGTGTTTTGACTGCTTCCCTGTTTCTATGTATTAGGTAGAGCTGTTATGTCTCCTGGAATTGGTAGAGTGGCCTTGTGTAATAGGTGTCTTGTAGGGCTCAGTGACTCAGCCTCCCCAGTCACCTGAGCTGGGCACTTTAGGTGCGCCCCTGTGTGGGCTGTGTGCACAGTCTTGTTGTAGTTGAGCCTTGATAGGCATCATGAGAAGGAATTGGCGTCACTGGGAGGAATTGGCCTCCAGGCCAATTGGCTGTGAGGACCAGCTGCGTCTATAATGGAAGAGCTGCTATGCAGGATACACCCCTATGGAACAGGACGTGCTTCAGTGGGGCTTTGGTGCTCACTGAGTCTGCCCCTTGAGTGTGTCGCTTGTGGATGTGTAGAGTTGTTATCTGGTATGGTCTGAAGCTGTCCACTGGGTCACTGGCTCTGAGGCCTCCTGGGAGTTGCAAAGTCAGCCACTGCCTGGGGCCACCTGGCAAGAGCTACAGAGAAATCTGCAGATGGCTGCTATTTGTATTGGGCTAGGAAGTGCCCAGGCAAGGACAAGCTGTGAGGCCAGGCAGGCTGGTGCTAGTGCTGGGTCTTGGACCTTTTATTGATAGGTTTCGGGCATGCTGACTCCAGCTGCTGCTGTGCCTGAAACCTGAGCCAGTACAGGCCATTTCATATGGAAAAGCAGCTGCAAACAGCTTGGGTGGGGCTGAATATTGGATAGGGCGGGGGTCTCAGATTCACCAGGGGGAATGAACAGTGTGGACCATGCTGATGGAAACTCAGATATGGCTGCCAGGCAGCTTTGCGATGGGAGAGGTCTCAGCACAGGAACAATGACCCCTGTGAACACTCCTGTTGGGGAAAACTCACCCTCGAGTTCTTGTCCCTATGCCAGACAGTCCAGTTCCTCCCTGTATGTCCCTGGACACCCCCAAAGCTGCCATCCAGCACTGAAGCTCAGGATCATATAAGTTCTTGTGCAGGGCCTTCAAGAGGAACACCTGGGACTCCAACAGCCTCTGTGTCACTCAGCCACAATCCCCGATAGTTTTTTGTTTTTTAAAAATATATTTTTATTGATAGCAGAGAGGAAGGAAGAGGGAGAGAGAGAAACAGAAACATCAGTGATGAGAGAGAATCATTGATTGCTGCCTCCTGCACACCTCCTACTGGGGACCAAGCTCAGAACCCGGCATGTGCCCTTCACCTGAATCGAACCCAGGACCCTTCAGTCCACAGACCAATGCTCTATCCACTGAGCCAAACCGGCTAGGGCCCCGCTAGTTTTTATAGCCTAAAGTTATGGGGACTTCTCTTCCCAGCCCTGGAACCCTGGGCTGGAGGTCTGGTGTGGGGCTGGGACCCCTTGCCTCTCACAGGAGGCCTTGGAGATATCCCTCCTGATTAAAGAAACTCCACATGTGGGTATTGGACCAGCCCGTTCAATGCCTCTGGCCTCCTACCAGTCTCAATGCACTTTCATCTTCTCTAGTTGTAGGACTTCCATTCAGCCAGCTTTCAGGTGGTTCTGAATGATGGTTCTGTATTTTAGTTGTAATTTTGATGTGGTTGTGGGAGGTGGCAAGTACTAGTGTTTACTTATGTCGCCATCTTGGTTCTTCCCATTTTTTAATTTTTTAATATATTTTTATTGATTTCAGAGAGGGAGAGATAGAAACATCAATGATGAGAGAGAATCGTTGATTGCAAGCACCCTACTGGGGATTGAGCCCACAACCAGGCATGTGCCCAGATTGGGAATCAAACCATGACCTGGTTCATAGTTTGACGCTCAACCACTGAGCCACACTGGCCAGGCTATTGACCTCATTTTTTTTTTAAATATATTTTATTGATTTTTTACAGAGAGGAAGGGAGAGAGATAGAGAGCTAGAAACATCGATGAGAGAGAAACATCGATCAGCTGCCTCCTGCACATCTCCCACTGGAGATGTGCCCGCAACCCAGGTACATGCCCTTGACCGGAATCGAACCTGGGACCTTTCAGTCCGCAGGCCAACGCTCTATCCACTGAGCCAAACCGGTTTCGGCTATTGACCTCATTTTTATGTTGAACATTGTGCTAAGTAATTTCTATCATGTTATTTCACTTAATTGTTAGAGCCTGTCTTTTGAGAAATGCAGTAATAGCAGGCATAGGGCTCATCTGCAAATTCTAGGGACTTTAATCTCCTATTAGGAGAAAGTGTTTTCTGTCACGTTTTCACAGTCGACTCTTCAATAGGTCACCATTTGGCAAAGCTGTAGAGAGGGAGGATGGCTACAGGGATATCAAGTACATGTTTCTCCCCTGTATGTGAGGGGAGAACTGCATTTTACTTATGTGTTTAGCAAACATTTGCAGGCATTGTGGGCCCATTGAAACCATGTATTTTTAGTAACTAGGGTTTAACCAAATCCCTAACTAAACTCAGACTGGCTACTGCTTTCCTCTAGTGTATCTCCTCCAAACCCAGTGACATGCCTGTTCCCCTTTCCTCTGGCAGGGCCGGATTGTGGTACCTCGAGGCTGCCGGGACTTCGGCTGGGACCCCTGCTTTCAACCTGATGGATACGAGCAAACGTAAGGAGCCCGGTTTCTTCTTGGGGTCAGGCTAGCCATGGTGTGTGTTGGGTCAGTGCCCCACCCAAGTGTGCAGGCACGCGGATATAGACAGAGTCAGGCTCTGAGACTGCCGTTCCAGCCGAAGGCAGCTCTGCTGGGGTGGATGCAAGGAATCTGGGTGGCCCAGTCCACGGTGGGGGAGGCAGCCAGGCGTAGCTGGGACACCTGGGCTCGGGCTCCAGCTCATAGCAGAGCAGCTGTGTGACTTCAGTGTCTTCCCCTCTCTGACCTTGGCTTGTCTTGTATATATATGACAGTTTTGGGGGTGGTCTTCTGACTCCCCCTATCTAGTTTGGAAAAATGTTAGCACTTTTGCAACCTTTGGCGGGCATCACATTAAACCCCCTTGGTGCTGAGTGTTCTCAGTATTTCATACCAGTTTCCTCCTTTATTGACATGGGGCACGTTGGCCAGTATTGGAGTCGGGTTTCCCAGGCTGGAGCGGCCCTTAGGGAGCATGGCCTAGGTCTCCAAGTGGCCAGACAGGGCTGAGGACAACATGAAAGAGCACTGTCCGAGAATGCTCTTTGGTGACAGAAGTGTTGTATACATCTGTGCGGCCCAGTCCAGTAGCAATTAGCCACAAGTGTCTGTGGAGCATTGAAAATGTGGCTAGGGTGCCTGAGGAACCGAAATCCTTTTATTCAGTTGTAATTGGTTCAAATTTAAATGGCCACTCGTGGCTAGTGGCCAATACTGGACAGCACAGATCTGAAGCCCACCATTGGGGTGTGGGATGACCACCTCACAGGAGTCCTGGCATGGAGGACAGGCCAGTGGCCGGCTCACCTGCCCTCCCCCCGCAGGGTGCTTGAGGAGACTGCTGTGTTTACTGTCAGGCCTCACTGCTTCCTGTCAATAGATGACAAAACCGATCAAACACGCAGCTCATCCCCTTGTCCCCAGCTTCCCTTAATGACTTTTGGACACACTGGAGCAAGTTTAATATCCTTCCACAACCATCAATATGAGTTTCTACCTATAGGGGATTTTAAAACGTTTCAATTTTTAAGAAAGTAGCCGCTACCCTTTCCTGGGGAATCCTTGAGCTTTGGGCTCTGGGGGGAGGGGAGTTAGATCTATAACCCTTTCCTGGGGAATCCTTGAGCTTTGGGCTCTGGAATTAACTGGGGGGAGGGGAGTTGGATCTATACCCTCCCTGATCTGGGCTCCCTATTCTCTGAGCTGCTGCTGTCGCCCCTTAGGTTCGCAGAGATGTCCAAAGCTGAGAAGAATGCCATCTCCCATCGCTTCCGGGCCCTGCGTGAGCTGCAGGAATATTTTGGCGGCCTGATTTCTAAGAATGATGATGAGCATGCTCAACGGGGATCTGGGGAGGGCTAGCCTGAAACCTCCATCAGGCAGGCACCCCCCAAGTATGTCCTTTAGGGTTACCACTTCCTGGGGGTGTTGAGATTGACAGCCCCACCAGACCAGCCTCACCAGTCTGGAGGAGCAGATGGCTCTGTTTGGAGGAGCTTTGGGCAAGGGACACCATTGGTCTCTGCTACAGCCTCCAGGACCCAAAAGGACCTCAGGCATTACATGGGCCTTGGCAGAATTGAGGGTTTGGGGGAGAAATTCTCAGTGTGTTTTAAATGCGGCAAGGAAAAATTCTGGAAGGCACTCCAAAATAAACTGGATGTATCTGCTTTGAAATCTGCCCCAGGCGGGTGTCTGTCTCCTGAATCCCTTTTGGCAGGAGCAGGAAATCTCTTAGGTGGAAGGGGAAGGGGTGTTGGTGGGACAAGGACAGCACTGTGTCCAGGTTGTTCGCATGCCCTTGCTAGCTGGGGTGTTACATCGTTCCTTTCATTCTTCAAATCTCAGATCAAGGGCTGACCTTTTCCATGCCAGATCCATGCTGTTCACCCACCCATCGAGTGATGCCAATGCCCAGCTGGTCTCCATAGTGTTTGCTGGGTTGGGAGTGGGCCGTGTGGGAAGTCTAGTGCTTTTGCTTTGTGGGGTTATACATCAGAACAGCTCAAATGTTGGCTTATGATTATAATTCCAAACTCATTTACAAAATATACATATAGCCCTAGCTGGTTTGGCTCAGTGGATAGAGTGCCTGTGGACTGAAGGGTCCTGGGTTTGATTCCAGTCAAGGGCACATGCCTGGGGGGTTGTGGGCTCAATCCCCAGTGGGGCGTGCAGGAGGCAGCCAATCAATGATTCTGTCATCATTGATGTTTCTATCTCTCCCTCTCTGAAATAAAAAATAATTTTTTTTTATATATATTTCATATATATTTATGATGTGGGGTGCTGGGGACTTGCCTGCTCCTCACTTGGTGATTCTGGACATGACATTCCCATCCCCGCTGCCCCCCTCCCCCGCCACTCAGGGGGATACCCAGTCTACTGGGGAGGGGGCTCCAAAGGCTCATGTGCCACATGGGTGGGGCAGGTATATGCAACTTGCTCGGGGCAAGGCATCCCTATTTGTTACTCAGCTCCTTCCTGAGTTCTGTCCTGGCACAGTACACTCTGTCCCCCTTCTTTTAACTTTAGTACTCATTCCCCACAAACAGCATTGCTTGGTTGGAGGGTGAGGTGTCTTGGTTGTGCCTCAGTCTCCATTCCCCCTATAAGTGTACAAGCCCCCACCCCATCTCCCACTCAATCATCCATACATCTGATTTCTACCAAGCGGAAGGTGCCATCTCACTGCTGGGTTGCATTCCTCACATTTCTGAGATGTTTGAGCATCTGTGGCCATTCCTGTTAACATTTTGGGCCTCCCTTTCCCTGTTCACAGCCTTTGCCTCTTCTATCAGAGTCACCGTCTTATGTTGGTTTGTAATAATTCTTTGTATATCTAGGTCTTAGTTCCTTTTTCGTTTTAGATGTAGCAGATGTCTTCTCATCTGCTCCTTTGGTCTATGGTGTATTTATTAAGTCAGTCCTAAAAGGTGGTGTGATGGGGTGTCTGTGAGACAGTGCTGCCTACCACTGCTGCTGCTCCCAGGTACGTACAGGGGCGCTCCTCTGAGCCTTAGACCTGTGCCCCACCTGCCTGCTGCCAATGTCATGGGTCCTGGCCAACCACCAAATGGCCAAGCCAGAAACATGGTACCTTCTCCCCTCCATCAGACTGATCCCCACCGGCAATGCCCTGGTGCAGGATGCAGCCCCTGCCCTACCCTACCTCCCCTACTTAGAATCTACCCAGCAGACCAGATAGTTCAAAACTGCCAATCTGACCTACACACCTGTTTTCAGTCTCTGATCAGGCTGCTCTGCAACTGTCTCTGAGAGCCAGAGCCCTTTGCTGTCAGTCCCGCTAATCTCCCCATGCCAGTCATGCTCTATAGTGGCCCCAAGCCCTCTCCTCAGGGTCCTCACACATTCTGTTCCCAGATACTTCCCCTGTAGGTTCCTGGCAGCACAAAGGCCGCCTGGATCTTCATTTCCCTGTTGGGCCAATATTCACTGTGACAGCACAGAAATGGCACTCTACACATATGGATCCCTTTTATGCCCCTTCCCCACGGCACTCAGGTGGCCTTCAGAGGCTGGGGCAGGCTACAGGGATGAGACAGCACATAGCAGCATAGAAACAGGAGCTTTATTCTCTAATGTGCATACAGCAGATTCCTTATACAATCAAGGAAATGGTTTCTCTTTCAGGCATCTGACTCTTTTATCAAAAGAAAATCCATCCTACTTAGTCCCACCCTGGGCAGAAGCTGCCCTGAGCAGTTTTGACCCAAAGCAAAAGGCAATGGGAAGTACAGGCACACTCCATGGAACCCCCACAATGCACACACGCCCTAGGCCTTTGGGACAGCTGTGAGGGGGGCAGCATGGAGCAGCACTCCAAGACACCCACACCTCCCCACAAAAAGTCACAGCCGGGCTAGGAAGACCAGGAGGAACCAACCAACAGGGAGTGGCCAGGGCCTGCCAGTCAGCAGCTCAGTGATCAGCATCCATGGCGTCCAAGTATTTGGCTTCAATGATTAGGGGCAGCAGTTTGTAGCTGAGGAGGGGAGGGAATAGGCAGAAAGATGAAGATTGAATCAGGGAGAAGACAGGGCCCCGTCTCAGCAGCCCCACTCTTCCACCCAGCTGGTCCCACCTGCCCTCTGCCCACCCTCCCGTACCGGATAGGGATCATGGTAATCATGATGAGGGGGAAGATCATCTTCATGTAGGGCAGGGGGCTCATGCCAAAGGCACAGAGCAGCAGCAGCTGCAGGACCTGCAGCCCCGTGAAGTAGTGTATCTTCCTCTGAGGCACCTTCCTGATATAATGGGTGGGTGGGTATGAGGCCTGTGGGTGGTAGGGAACCAGGTGTGGACAGGTCTGATGTTGCTGTATCTCCCACCCACATCCCTCGCTCAGGGTCAGATGCTCACCTGGTCCTTGAGCAGTAGGACCAAACGCTCAAAGAGCTGGTTGGCATCGATGGAGGTGAGGGCAATGTAGAGGAAGAGGCCGTAGAGCACAGGCTTAGGGATCCACTGCAGCGGGACGGGCAGCAGCAGGAGGGAGAGGCCCACTAGGATGCTGGCGCCCAGGCTGGTCAGCCGCGTCTCCTTCACGTTCATGATCCTGTGGTCCCAGAGCACCGCATCACCTCCAGCCCCAGTCCAAGGGGGCCATGCCCCACCTTGGGTCACTTGTGACTCTCAGGCTAGGGCACTGCAGGGCCACATCCCTCCCAGGGCTATCCCACCTTAGGGCCCAAGTGACTCTTGCCTCAGGCTTCAAGGGGCCACTGTCACACTCACGTGTCATAAACATGCCCACTCTCCACACGCTGCTCCACCAGAGCCAGTGCCCGCACGTGCATTGGGGAGTGGGGGTAGGCAGCATGAATCCAGGGCATCCCAAACAGAGACAGCCCCGTGTTGATGATGGCGATGAGCAGGAGGTCCCAGTGGTAAGCTGTGCCCTTCACTAGCCTGCAGCAGAAAGGCGGGAACATGCATCGGATAGAGCCCCTGTGGGCTCCTTGGAGGGGGGCACCCTGCTCAGCCCTCCCTTCCCAGTCCTGTGAACCTGTTCTCTGGTGCGTTAGCTAAGGCAGCCACCAGGTTCTGCTCAATGAAGAAGAGCATAGAGAGCAGGAAGCCGAGGCCCATGGCACTGCAGATGGCTCCCAGGGACTGCGAGTGCATCTCCGCCATCTTAAACAGGCTCTCACGGGGGTTGTAGCGGAATTTGCTCACTGCAGCAAGATACAGACCCTGCTCCAGCCTGCAACTCCATGGAGGCACCCCACCCCACCCCACCTGCATGCCGGTCCAGTCCCAACTCACTCTTAATTTCCTTGAAGCCATAGGAGCCAATGAGGGAGAAGGTGAGCACAGCGATGGGCAGGGCACAGTCTGACAGGATCTCCCGCATGTAGGGGTGCAGGTAGGGGCTGGGGACAGAGGAGGGTGTATCAGCCTGGTCCAGGGGCTGTGTCTCCTTCCCCTCACCTCTAGGCCCCCCTCACCTCTTCTTGAACTGGTAGAGGGTGTAACCCAGCCAGAGCGTGCCCAGCATGATAAGGAGGCTGAGCACGGCAGTGTCCCGGTGTGGTTGCTCAGGTAATTGGCTGCTCTCTGGGTTCAGTTCCAGCGGGCTGGCCAGGAGGCTGGTGTTGAGGCTGGTGCCAAGGTCCAGCAGGCTAACCAGGGAATTGTGACCTAAGCTGCGATTCCCAAGTTGGTTGCCATAGTAGTACTTCTGGAAGACTATGGACACAGACCAAAAGGCCTCAGCCATCTGGGTTCTGGGAGATGGGGGCCCAGCTTCCTCCTAGATGTGGGGTGAGGGGGCCCTGAAGGGAGAAGGGGTATCTGGGAGAAGTGAGGGGAAGCTGGCCCCATCAATTTGCCCATCCACCCACTACTCCCACCCCTTGCCCCTGTCCCTCTGCCCTGTCTGACAGTGCATCTCACGTGGCCCAGGGCCTCTGATCCTGCCTGGAGCAGCCCTGCCACCCTCTAGCACTTGTGGCTGCTGCTCCCCAGAGCACCCTGGAGCACGAGAACAACCTTAGCTTGCATGCTGCTTGACTGCCCTGGCCACAGCCCATAATCCCCCATCTTAACTCCGATCCCTCTACAGCAAGTGGCCATTAGGTAAATACTCACTTTTGGTCATGCCCTTGACAGCATCCAGCACAAATGTGATGGAAATGAACAAGGCAATGATATCTTCTGTTGACCTGCCAGGGGATGATATGCCTCATAAGATGGGGGTCAGTTGTGGGGGGAAGCTTCCCTGAGCCTCAGTGTGACCCCCCCCACCTCCTACTGCCATGAAGAGGACCAGTCCCAGGCTTTTCCCCTTGGGGGAGCCCCATCCCCTCTAGGGTTATAGGACCTCAGAGGCTGGCATTGGCTGACCAGATCCCTGGCCTTGGTCTCCCTCCAGTTCGAAGGTCCCAGCAGTTCAGGGAAGGCCCTGTCACCTCTTGAAAAGACTCATGATCAGGCTGAGGTTGAAGAGGGCATAAACTGCAAGGAAGAAACTGTTCCACAGGCCTATCCATGCATAGAAGGTGTTGAAGTCCAGACTGTAGTCATCACAGATGCCACGGATCACTGCAGGCAGCAGGACAGGGGTGGGCGGTCAGGACTTGGCCGGGGCCAGGGACCACGGGCACCATCTCCCTACCACAACTCCCACTGCACCCTGAGTGTAGAGGGCCAGAGGCGCAGTTGTCAGCAGCACCACCAACGGCTGCCCAGAGAAGAGTGCATACAAGAGGCCTCCAATGCTCTGCCCAGCCATGCTCTTCTGCACACCTGAGGAAGTGGAGTGATCAGGCAGGCACTACACCCTGGGCACCCCCCACTGACCTCCGGTTCCTTACCGATGGCGCCTTTGGTGTTCTCATCATTGAGGGTCCCAAAAGCAATCGTGGGCAGGAGGCAGGCGAAGTAGAGGAACAGAGTGGTGGTGATGTACTTGCCCACAGTCCTGTTTTTCCCGATAATGCCTAGGACAGGACAGAGTGTTGGGGATGCTGGACAGGTATACTTGTTGTCCTGTGGTCTGAGCCACACAGGCCGAGCTTCGGGGGACCGCAGAGCACATACCATCAGTGAAGTCCATTGAGTACACGGCGAACCTGCGGGCGAAGTCCTCCCGGATGCCCTTCCCCACAGGGAAAAAATCGTTGTGCTGTATGGGCTATAGCAGGGTGCCTGTTAGCTCTGCGCCCATGCTCTGCAACCCCCACCTAGGCCCA